TATATATAATAATAATATATATATATATATATATATATATATATATATATATATATATATATATACACAAAGATGAAGATAAAGTAGAAGATGAGGATATAGTACAAAATAAGGATAAAGTACAAGCTGAAAATGAGGATAAAAAACAGAGTGAGGATGAAGAATAAGATGAAGATCAGGATGTAATGCAAGAAGAAAATGAGGATGAATTACCAGAGAAGGATGAACAACAAGATGAAGTACAAGATAAAGATGAGGATGAAGTACAGATTGAGTATGAACTACAGGGTAAGGTCGAAGTTCAGGATGGAGACAAGATACAAAATGAAAATGAGAATGAAGAACAAAATAATGATGATGATGAAGTACAAGATAACGATGATGATGAAGTGTAAGATAATGGTGATGATAATAAAGTACAAGATGAAAACGAAGATGAAGTACAAGATGGTGATGTTGTTGTAGTACAAGATAATGATAATGATAATGAAGTATTAGGTGAAAACGAGAATGAAGTACAATATGGTGATGATGTTGAAGTACAAGATAATGATGATGATAGTGAAGCGCTAGATGAAAACGGGGATGAAGTACAAGATGGTGATGATGTTGAAGTACATGATGGTGATAACTTTGGAGTACTAAATAATGACGGTGATAGTAAATTACTAGGTGAAAACGAGAACGAAGAACAAGGTATTATTCATGATGAACTATAAGATAATGATGATGATAATGAAGTACGAAATTATAATAATGATAATGAAGTACGAAATTATAATAATGATAATGAAGTACGAGAACGAAGAATAGGATGATGAAGTACAAGATAATGATAATGATAGTGAAGTACAAAGCGAAAACAAAGATAAAGTACAAGATGATGATGATGTTTAAGTAAGAGATAATTATGATTATAGTGAAGTACAAAATGATGATGATGATAAGATAATGATGATGATAGTGAAGCGCTAGATGAAAACGAGGATGAAGTACGAGATGGTGATAATGTTGAAGTAGAAAATGATAATGATCATAAAATACAAGATGATGATGATGATAGTGAAGTACAAGATTATAATGATGATAATGATGTACGAGGTGAAAACGAGGATGAAGAACAGGATAACGTTTATGATGAAGTACAAGATAACGATAATGATGAAGTACAATAGCGAGGTACAAAGCGAAAACAAAGATGAAGTACAAGATGGTGATGATGTGGAAGTACAAGATGATGATAATTATGAAGTACATG